GACACAAACAAATTGTTGCCTAAATTAGATATACAGACTAGGTGGACAAGAGGGTGCTTTGTAGAAATATCATGGATTACTTATATTTAATAATCTTTTTTGTCAGTGATATGGGCTTGTCAGTAACTTCAAACGCCTGGGTATTCTGGACCACAAGATTAAGTGCAACAAAATTAAAATCACATTATGCATCTGATTAATGAGAAATGGCATATTGTAGGTCCCAAGGGTAGAACTTTGTTGTGTGGTATATTAGCTACAGATGGCACAGGAAGAGGTTTCTGAATATGTAATAAAACCCTTCGTAATACTAATTTTGATTGTCAAGACATTCTTCCTCCTTCTGCACTGCCAGTGAGAGCTGGCAGAAAGTCCTGTGCTTAAGGAGAGGGGGGAAAAGGTTCGAGTAGTAATACATTTTCTGAACTTGGAGAAACAGGTAGTTAGACCTTGATAGAAATGAAAAAGTGATGTGCAGGTTTAAAGAGCTCTGGAATATAAAAATATTTATTTCAGTTAGGCTGGAAGTAATTATGAATCTTTGAAAAGCTGAGTGAATGGGGAGTGATTGAATTGATAGTTTAGAATTAAATAAAGTGGAGGAGTGGGTTGTGATGGGAGCTGTCTGGTAAAAGCACATTTAGTGTGTGAAAGAATCCAAGGAACTGAACAAAATAATACGAAAGGGTAGGAGAGGTTTAAATTTAAAAAAGGCTCATGTTTTTCCTTGCCTAAACCACACTTATCCTCTTTCTTTCCCAAACTGATGAATTGGTAAGCGTAATGAATGTAGTTATGACTCATGGTGCTCTTACTTGTTTTGGAAGGTGTTTCCCAAGAGCAACAATAATCAATGTGAATGCTTTGATTAAAAGCAACACTTTTACATCTAGCTTGATGTTTTTAATTATGATGCCTTTGTAACTTTACACATTCATTTATCTTTAAATCACTGATAAGACTATTTGCGTGTATGTGTAGGTGAATCTTTGTGCTGCTGAGGTTTCATAAATATCAGCTGAGTAGTAATGCTTTTATTCTGTAGGTGGACAGATATTGTCACTGACCTAAACACTCAAAATCCAGAATATCTAGATATTCGACACCTAGAGAGAGGATTGCAACATCGAAAAACAAAGAAGGTAAGGTAAACTCACAAAGATGGCAGGAAACTCATCGTAGGTTTTTGCAAACTTACTCATACTTCAGCAGTATCAGATAACTTCACTAAAGGAATTTATTCTGTTATGAAGTGTTGCTGAAGACAAAGGTATAATGTGGGTTCTTGCATACCAGAGTCATTTAGATTTACTTGATGGACAAGATAAATATCACTAGCTTGGTGTATGCTAGGGTGAACCAGGATATCTGTGTATACAGAATGTATTTGGTCAGAATATTCAACTTGGTAGGTTTAAAAAGTAGCTGCAGCAAAAATGTTCTGCTGAGAAATTACAGACCCTTTGGGGTATGACCCTCCAATGACATTTAAGTGGGAAAGAAAGTACAGTTGAGTAGGATCATGGATAAAAGAATGTGTGCATCTCCCTTGTATGAAGTTACTGTCAATGCATGGGGCTTTCTTTCCTTTAGATAGGGTTATATCTCATGGGTGGAGGATGTATTTGTGGTTTGCAGATTAAAACTCTCTGAGAAATAATAGAGGAGATGATTTCAGGTGTGAAGACTCTATGGAAGACTGTGTCAGCAAGATGAGAATGGACTAGAAGAGATAATTGCTGAGAAGGTAGCTAGAAAGTAGAAAAACACTAGCAGAAAACAAGTAGTACTGCCCCATTAAGGATATAATTGATAGCTCAAAAATATGAATAAAAAAGCAGTAATTTAATCTGGAAAATAATCAGAACTGATTGATGCAAGCTGTATATTTTTGTATATGATTTTGTGCTGTTTTGTTGTTTGTTGGATTTTTTTCCCCCTGGCTTGTATGTTGTGGCACTTCTTGTTTGTTTTCTGTTTGAAGGTATCATGTTACTTGCTAAAATGTTGATGTCAAATATCTATGTATGTTAGAAATGTACCTGTGGTATGCATTTAACAAAGAACCTTTTTTACTTTGATTAGGTTGGAGGAAATCTTCATTGCATCATTGCCTTTCAGAGACTTAACTGGCAAAGATTTGGTCCTTGGAATTTTCCATTTGGGAATGTGAGACAGAATAAACAATCCCAAACACAGGGACAAGGAATTTCCAAATCTGAGAGTGAAGACAATATATCTAAGAAACAACATGGGCGACTGGGTCGGTCTTTCAGTGCTAGCTTTCATCAAGAATCTATGTGGAAGAAATCTAATCTTCGGGAGAGGAGAAACAGTGGATATCAAAGTTACAATGATTATGATGGAAATGATTAAAATTAACTTTAGATTATAGAGTTGATACATTAAAGTTAGTTTTAATCAAAACATATTAGGGATTTATTAGTCCTAGAACACATAAGAATAGAAATTATGGTATAAGATACAGCTTCATAATTATTAAATAAATATGTTGATATGGTTGCAATAGACGAGATCTGATGTATAAAGTAACAGATAAGCACAGATTATTGTAATTTTGCAATCAAAGGTGAATATGATAGCAAAATCAATCATTTCTTTTGAAATAATTGTACTGTGTCCTGATCTGTGAAAACAAAAGAGCAGGTTGAAATGAGTCGATGTAATAAACAGACTTCATTGAATATATTTATTGTTCAAAAGCATGAAAAATTATAACATTATAAAAAAGGGTTATTCTGCAAATGGTGTAAGGATAAAAGAAAACATTGCCTTTATTTTTAGCACTTCATTTTAGTAAGGCTGCCCATATCCAGTGCAAATGGAAAAAAAAAAAACATCACATAGGTTAGAAAACCTTGGATTTACAAAGAGAATGTAGATTCTCGGTTTAAGTCCTATTTGACTTCTGTCAGTCAGATAATCATATCTTGTCAAGAAGGTCTCAGTTTCTTTTCCCTTATCTGGTTGCCTGTTTTTGACTGTGAGGAATCACCTGTTTGGGGACAGAAATTCTCTATTATTTTTGCTCTGTGGGTAAAGGGGCTGAATTCTTACCCTGGAGCCTCCTGAGAGCATGGACTCAACATAAGCTTATGAAATTCAGTATTAAAAGCTGCATTTAGCATTAGCCAAATAAGCTAGCTGAACACTGAGTTCTGTTGGCAGTTCTTTTCCTTGTTCAGTCTTGCAATCTCTGTCCTTTGCTGCTTTTTTCATTTTGTGTGAAGGGGATGCAAGTGCTGAAAATTGCTGGCCACCCTGATGATATACCTCTCAGCCAGCACACAATTCAAGCTTTTTCAGGTGTCCCAGGTGCATTCTTTTTCCCTGATAAATCTAGTTGTTTGCCCAAACACATCTCAACAGTTGTGTTGTTCTGTGTACAAATGTTCATACCTGCTCAAGGATTAATTTTTTGACATAAAAAGATTTGTCATGGAATGCAGGGGTTTTGTAGGTTGCTGCTTTTGTTAACCAAAAATGGGAGACTTTTAGACTTTTGTTCATTCAATAAAATTTGTTTTCTATCTTGTTGTTTGCTTTTAATTTGTTTCGGAAATGATGGCCCTACATTTAGTAAAGGTCTTCAGCAAAATAGGTAAGTGACAGATCAGAGTTGCAACTACTGCTTAGCAAAGTAGGTAGGATTTCTTTGGTCATAAAAAGTGATGCTCATTGCAACCACTGTGACTTCTATTATTTAATTTCTCAAAGCCTGCAGCCTCATGACTAAACAAAACCCATAGGTTTTGAAATTTTATTTTCTGTGGGAACTATTTTCAGAGCCTGTTTTTGCAAGCTGAGTTTGGGCTGAGGGCTCAGCTTTTATTGGAGTACTTGAGCTATGTTCTTTAGGGGATTCAGGACTTACATAGCCAGAGTTACATGTGTGTCTCATAACTTTTGCTTAATAATGATAGTGGCACTGAGAAACAGGGTCTCCTCTGATGGTACTGGCTGTTCTGCTTAAGTAGATTGGGATGAAATTCTGGTTTTACAGTTATTTTGCTCTTGGGTTGGAGACTGTCACACTTTATCCACAGAGTATGTAGTATAGGGATTCTTCTATTATCAGCAGAAGCCAAGTTCATGTCCTTGGGGTTGTGCTGCAGGGAGCTTTCCTTGGGGATTTCCGGTGGTGGGATGCCTGTAGTGGGGGAACTGGAGCTGTGGTTGAGGCAGAACAGGGAGAGCGCAGGCTGCAGGGGAAATCATTTTTGGGAGTTGGAAAAATAGGACTACTTTTGGTCTGCATTGTGGGATTTTGTTCTAGGACAGGAGACTTTTCATTTTGCTACCAGAGAAGGGGAATAGAGCTGGTAAAGGCTCTGGGGCACAAGTCCTGTGAGGGGCAGCTGAGAGAGCTGGGGTTATTTAGCCTGGAGCAGAGGAGGCTCGGGACTGACCTTATCACTCTCAACCACCTGAACGGAGGGTGTGTAACCACGGAGGGGGCGGCCTCTTCTCCCAGGTAACAAGTGACAGGACTAGAGGAAATGCCCTCACGCTGCACCGGGTGAGGTTTAGGCTGAACATAAGGGAATTTCTTCACAGAAAGGGTGATCAGATGTGGGACTGCCCAGGGAGCTGATGCAGTTACCGCTCCGGAGTGTTTAGACTGGACGTGGCACTTAGATCACGGTCCGGTTGACAAGGGGCGTTCGGTCACGGGTCGGACTCGAGATCTTTCCCAACATGACTGATTCTTTCTCTGCTGTTAGGTGCTAGGCTCTCCTCCAGGCAGCCGAGGAGCCTAGCTGCCTCAGCAGCCGGAGCTGGAGGCGCTGGGAGCCGCCTGCCCCGGTGTGCGGGGCGGGCTGTGGGCGCCGCCCCGCCCCGCGCACGGCGATTCCCGGCGGCCCCGCCCGGCGCACGGCGATTCCCGGCGGCCCCGCCCCGCGCACGGCGATTCCCGGCGGCCCCGCCCCGCGCACGGCGATTCCCGGCGGCCCGCGGGGCCGCGCCGGGCGGGGCTGCGCTCCGTAAGCCGGGAGCCCGCGGGCGGCGGGGCCCGGGCCCTGCCGCGTCCCTGCCGTGTCCCTGCGCCGGGATCCGCTCCCTGCCGCAGCTCCGGGATCGCCACCCCCGCCCGCCTCTGTCCCTGCCGTGTCCCTGCGCCGGGATCCGCTCCCTGCCGCAGCTCCGGCATCGCCACCCCCGCCCGCCTCTGTCCCTGCCGTGTCCCTGCGCCGGGATCCGCTCCCTGCCGCAGCTCCGGCATCGCCACCCCCGCCCGCCGCTGTCCCGGCCCGCTGTCCCTGCCCGCTGTCCCGGCCCGAGCGGCTGCTTCGTTATTTCCGTTTGAATTGATAAAGCAGTTACGGGCCGCATAATCTTTGGGTTATTCCTTCTTCCGTGCCTTATAGATTTTCTCTCAAAGCAGCTAAGGAAGGACAATGGGAGTTCAAGGACTTTGGAAGCTGCTTGAATGCACCGGGAGACCCATAAACCCAGAAACGCTGGAAGGGAAAATTCTTGCTGTTGGTATCCTTTAAAAGTAAAGCTGGGTAACCGAAATTGCAAGGGTGATTGTCTTAACTATTCCCTTATTTACAAGATATATTATTATTATTATTGCATTTAAATTGCATTTTGGTAAGTAGAAGGTTTGCTTTACAATTGTAAAATACTAAGCTCTTTTATTTTCATTGTTTAAAAAATAGACTCTTTTTAATAGGTTCCTTATACAAGTGTTGGACTACAGAATTTTACACTTTATAAATAAATGTGCTGCTCTCTGTAGGACTACAAGATGAAGAAGTTTTATGCTTGTGCATCAGCTTTCCTGTCCTGTATACTTGATTCAATGCTGGGAAGATGTGGAAGGAAGTTACCCATCATTTATCTGTAACAATAACTGGGGAGGTATTTGCTGTGCTTTTGCTTTCACTCTATTTTTTGTGCAGGGCAATAGGGACAATGATTTATTCTTCTTCCAAGCTCATAGCTGTTTGGATATTCTTGGTTTTGGTAAGACAAACTTGGAGCCATGGGCAAAAGCCACTCAGTCAAATCTGTACACTTTATAGGAACTCCTAATGTGGTATATGTGTAAAAAGAGCACGCTTTTTCCTCTCAACGGTTCTTTAAGATATCAGTATTTGGTTGAACCAAGCAATAAAGGGAGCCAGAGATCGTGGTGGTATTTCTGTACGGAATGCTCACCTCCTCACTCTGTTTCATCGACTCTGCAAGTTACTATTTTTCCGGATTCGACCGGTCTTTGTTTTTGATGGAGAGGCACCTCTTCTGAAGAGACAAACCTTGGTAAGTACCTTTGTGAGTTACTGCAATGTAAAAGAGGCTGTATGTCTTGCTGATGGTAAGCAGCCGTTTTCAATTTCCTCCTGTTGTTCTGCTTATGTTTCTGAGCTGTAGGGATGGAGGATTGAAGTCTACTGCTCTGCCGGTGTCCTTTGCAGTCCCAGCCTGAGTTAGCTCTTGGAGCATGCAGCAGCTCTTTAATCTAGGCAGGTTTGATTTGCATTGGAGCCAGGTTGCAGAGAAGTGGATGCAGAGAAGCCTGGCATGTATTCCAGAATGGACCTGAATGCAGCTCTGCAGGCATTTATACCCAGAAGCTGAAAGCTGCTCCTGAGTCCCACAGAGGAAATGGACATAGATTTAGAGGCTCTGAAGGCTCTGTCCCTCTTGGGGTAGAATGAGTTAGGAGTAGCTCATAGGCTCAGCACATAGAATTTTAATAGGGATTCACTGAATGTGCATCTTCAGCATCCAGGAAAATCTTGTTGGTGTTAATCTTATTTTCATAGGCCAAGCGAAGACAAAGAAAGGAAAATGCCATCAATGATTCCAGGAAAACTACAGAGAAACTCTTGAAAACACTTTTGAAGAGACATGTTATCAAAACTGCTATTACAGGCAAAAGGCAAGACTAAAAATCATTTTTCCATTTTTATAGGTGACAGTAATTCTTTCTGAAGCTGTTAATTGCTTTTTTTTTTTTTCCTAAGCAATGAAGCTTTGCCCAGTATTACACAAGTTCGCAGAGAAGGAATTGATGATATGTATGTATTGCCTGCTTTAGAGGATGAAGAGAAGAATAGGTAGGTAGAATTAAGAAAAATAGCTTAAATGGTTTTTAATAAACTTGGGTAAAAGTATAAACCTATGAGACACTGTAATATATATATAAAGTATAGTTCTTTAATTTATATTTTATTTCAGTTTCTTTTTGAGTATAGAAACCTCCTAGTTATTTATGGTAAAGTAACAGAAGTTTTCAGCCCACAGATTGATTTTCTACACTGGATTCATGTATAAGGATGAAAGTTCTACCTCAGTCTCTATGGCCATGTCCATATAAGTAAATGGGACTGATCAAGCTTGGGTGTGGCTGGTTGATTCTGTTTTGTGTTGGCATGTTCAGCAGAGGCAGGCTTTGTCTGTGCTTGTCATACCTGTGTCATCTTCTTAAATAACACTAAGTGAGAATGTGAAGCTGCCCTTTGCACATCTGTACTTTTATATACTTCAAATGCTGACCAAGTAAGAACTGTGTCATGATCTAAACAGCAGCAGTTGTCTCCATCTGGTTTTAACTGACATGAGTTTGCCTACTTTCTGTTCTGATCTTTACAACTTGTGTGCATATTTATATATTTATATATATAAATATGTATCTAAATATATATATGTGTGTGTGTTTGATGCTGCAAATTTTTATGCTTGACCAGTGAAGGCATCTTTTTGCTTAAAATAGAAACTCTCTTTTCCTGGGTAAATATCTGCACATTTGTTTTCTCTTTGTGATTTTTAGCTCAGAGGAGGAGGAAGAAAAAGAATGGCAAATGAGAATGAGCCAAAAACAGATGTTGCAAGTAAGTGCAACCTAGTTGCCTTGTTACTGTGGTCAATCATATCATTCATTTGCTGTGCTTAAAAGATAAACAAAAAGCTTAGAAAATCCAATTATTTGGAGACAAAAGTCTTATTATACCATTACTTATAAGAAAACAAGTTAATTTTCAGTACTCCAAGAATTCCTATTAGTGAGGAAATATTAATATGATTTCTCCATTAGAATACAGCAGAACAGAAAAGTCTTGTGGTAGCCTTTCTTTTTCTTTTTACTACTTCCTTTGAACATATGGAGAAGACATTGGTTTTTGTAACAATGTAGGAGAAATGCATGCATTTGTGCATGTGTATGTACATAAATAACAGCATATCTAACAAAATTCCTGTGCTTCTCCAAATGTGAACTCAAGTTGAAGCACTTAAGTCCTTGTGTTTTCAGAGATAAATTGTGTATTTGCTTCTGATCTGCTGATCTGATTGGAAGAGGAAAAGAGAAATGCATAACCTAAGAAGAAGACATAATAAATATTAAAATTATCTCTGCTTACGTCAATAGGAAAAAAAAAACAAACACTCTTGGAAAGATTGTTTCTTTGAAGCAGTTCTCATTCAGGAGGAGAACCTCTTTAGAAGGACAAAATATGAGTAGTTAAGGCTATATGACCTGGTTCTGTGTTTTATACTAAATATCTTTTTGTAAAAAGAATAAAACCAAGTTTTTCTGTATAGTGTACATCAATAATGAGGTACTTAGCATTATTTTATTACACAGTGGTTACTTTCTTTTTCTTGTTTTCACTATGTGGGAAGTAGCAACAAAGTTCTTGAGGGGTTGGGTTTTTTTGTCTTGCTTGGAACAATGTTCGAAAAATTTAATTATTTTTGTTCTGCTCAAATATAAAATATGTATTCTTGTTTTCCATTGTTATAGGAACAATTATGTGAAAATCCTTATTCTGTAGATATTGAATCAGAAGATTTCCACAAGCTGCCTCCAGAAATAAAACATGAGATCTTGACTGATATTAAAGAACTTACAAAGCGAAGAAGAACGTTATTTGAAGCAATGCCAGAGGTAATATTTAAAATAGCTTTCAAGGCATTGGAATGGAGCTATTGCCATTAATGCAAATGAAGAAAGAGTACTATATCTGGAAAACTTTACACCCTGGACTGTTTAATAAGAGATGTTACCGAGGAGAAAAAAATCCAATGAGATAATGACTCTTCACAGCCTTATCTCTTGATTTCCATTAACATTAGCAGAGCTAATTCATTTTGGCAAAAATGTTAAAAATTGTGCTGTGTTTCGTGCCTCATCAGCATTATGTCAAAGATTGCATAACATGCTACTTGTGTGGATGATCCTGGCAGGATGAACACAGCTTGGATTCCAAACCCTGAGGTTGTTAGAGGAGCTGGCAGCTGGGAAAAGACTTTTTTAACTTCAGGCAGATGTGTTGAAGCTGTTCAACACATCTGAATACAATATGAATGGGGAATCCTATAGTACCACTTCTACACTGAGGTTTTGAAAGTACAGTATACATCAGATTAAATTACTGTTTATGTCCAAGTGTAACCTAAGAACAATAATTTTAAAATGATCCATGTGTGGATTCGCTTTTAATGGCTTTTCTTTTTAAGAATGGGATGAGCTCTGATAACCAAAATTAAGATGTTCTCTGGCACTGAGAACTACTGATACCTTTCAGAATAATTGTATGTTGCCAGGATAGTATTGCGAGTGCAGCAACCAGTTAGCTGCTTAAAGGAACACCTGAAAGAATTCCCACAATCTTCCAGAATGTGGGAAATTAATTTGCTTAAAAGGGGTGTTTTATTTCAATTGATTTGTTTGTTTTGTTTTTTGTTTTGTTTTTTTGAGGACTCCAATGACTTTTCCCAATACCAGCTTAGGGGTTTGCTTAAAAAGAGCAACCTCAATCGGTGCATAGAAAATGTACAAAAAGAAATGAGCCAACAGCATTCGGGTGAAATCCAAACACAATATGAAAATGAAGGTGGTTTTGTGAAAGAAGTGGAATCAAGGAGGGTGGTCTCTGAAGAGACTTCTCACTATATTCTGATAAAGGGTATGTTGGGTCTTATTTTTGTAAAACCTGTTTGGAGTGTGCACACTTAAACCCGACAGTTTAAAGACAAACCTGAATATTGTATATTGGTGCACGTAGCCAGTACTTTATATGAAATGTGCTTTACTGGTATACTTCATTAACTGTGATCTGTAAACCTTCAGAAAAATGGTTTAATAATCTCTATATAATGATGTTCATTATGTAAAATGGAATCTTTTTATAAAGCAGTATTTTTCCACACAAAACTTACTTTCAGGTATTCAAGCAAAAGAGTCTATGAATAGAGAGTTGGAAACTACTGCAGGACCCTCATCAAAAATGCATGAATTGACTAAATTAAATAAAATCAATGAATCTCCTGCTAAGGCAAAGCAGGAAGATGACAATGTAGTGGCAGCACCGCCCTCGCCTCGGACTTTGCTTGCTATCCAGGCAGCCATGGTGGAAAGCAGCTCAGAAGAAGAACTGGATGCAGGACAATTGAACATGGACCGATTTGTGTCAGAGGAAGGCAGTGTGTCTCCAAGAACACTGCGGGCAATTCAGCAAGCTCTGAGTGAAGATGATAAAGGGGAGGAAGTTGCTACTGCTGCAACTGATGGAGTGCTGTTAGAAAGACCAGAAGGGAAGGATTTTCTGCTTACTAGCTCAGATGAGGAAGAACAGATTCCTGAAGTTAAGGAAGGAGAAAACATTCCTACAGCTACAATTCATTCATCAATCCAAGTGACTGTACAAGATGCTAAATTTAAACAGAAGACTCAGGAGTTGGAAAAAAGTGATACTACATCCAAAGACACTGGTATATTCAGAGATGAAAATTATTCTGCTATTGAAAATACTAGAAAAGGCAAAGAAGATATAGACAAAGAAGAAAATTATTCAGAAAATCATATTGCACCCAAGGACACCAGTATATCCATAGCTGAAAATTATTCTTATATTAACAATACTAGAAAAGATAAAGAAGACTTTGACAAAGAAAAAAATGGTTCTAAAATGGACTTAAAGTCTCTGGGAGATAAGAATATGAATTTGTGTTTGCAGAAGCCAAGCTGTTCCCCTGTGCAAACCAATATAGGTCCTTTGATTCACACTGAGACAACAGACCTTTCTAAAAATGAGGAAAACTTGAAAATTTCTGAAAACACACAGGAAGTAATTTCACAAACAAAGGAGAATCTATCTGTGGATACTAGATTTTTTCAAGAAGCAAGAGATCCTGAGGCGGAAAGAGAAAGGATGTCACAGTCCGAAGACAGTGATTCTGATGGTATGTGCTTTTTGATTGTGTAAAAGGATAAGAAAATAGGACAGTATATTTGTAGTCAGTCGAAGGTAACCTTTTCTCTTAGTCAGCAATCCTTAAAAATGCATCCACTCCCACATATATAGGAGGCAGGAAGAAAATTTGAGCTGTGTTTTTTCACCTGGTGTCACACTTTATCATTGAAACCTGTGTGTAGAATATGGAGAATCGGGAAAGCATGTTGTGTACATTGAATTTAACTGGTGTTATTAACCAGTCAGCCACTTGGTTTATGTAATTTCACAATCCTTATATATATCTGCTGCATATAGGAAAAATAAAAAAACACTGCACAAGTTAAAAATGTGTACAAGTCTCTGTTTTCCTTTGATAGGAAGCTTCATTGAAGTGGATGCTGAGGTCAGTAATGATGCTGAGTTTCCTACTAAATATGATGAAGAAATGAGTGATGAACCGACACGTGCAGAAGTGGAGACAGACAGACAGGATGTTTTTACACTGGACGTGCTGAAAGAATCTGATGAGGTGCAGTTGGGAAACACTCAGAATGTTGAAAGAAATGCTGATGGTAAAGCTGCAGTGGAAGAGTGGCAAGACATCAGTTTGGTAACTCATTGTTTCTTGTTTTGAGCTTGTAATGGAGTGCTTTGTCTCCAAATAGTTGTTAAGGAAAACTCTTGATCAGCTTCTTATTATTTCATTGCTTTCTCACATAGCTATCTAATTGTATGGGAACTGATTTTTCTTTAAAGGTGGTTAATTATAATCTCCCTGAAATCAGAGGAAAACTTCAACATAAATTCATGACTCGACCATCTCTGGTCTTACAGCTTGCTGCATTAGAGAAGCTGTAACAGCTTCCTAGTGTGAATTAATGGAACATGTGCTACTAGACTTTGTGCTTTGCTTTCCTAAGTGTACCTGAATTATTGAAATAATAAAAAACTTTGGTTTATATTTTCAGGAAGAACTAGAAGAATTAGAAAAGGACCTTTCTGCTGAACAAAATACACTTCAGTCTCAAAAACAGCAGCAGGAACGTGTTGCCGCTTCTGTAACAGGACAGATGTTCTTGGAAAGCCAGGTAGTATTTGTTGAGTCATTTTGATTTGTTTCCTTCCTCTATCCCAGTCATTTACTCAAAAGCTGTTAGTAATTTTGTTTAGTTATAGGTCACCTTTTTCCCCTCTTAGGAGCTTGTTTTCTTCAGTTTGCTTGTTTTAAAATATTGAAAGTGTTGAGATAATCTTGAATCCCAACTATTTTAAGTAAGTGTAATAACATTATAAAATAATAATGTAATTATGGATAAATCAGTATATCTTTTAAGCACCAACTTCTAAAGGTTGGGGCAGTTTGATCTTGGCCTGTTTTTGTGAAAGGTGCAAAATAAACAAAAAATATTAGGAAGCTATGTACAGCAGCAAAGAATTGATGCAGTCTGTGTGTTAGGTAAACTGTGATTTCCCCTAGGGATTAAAAGGTTAAAAAATTACAAGAAGTCTGTGTAGTTTATGCCCTGAGTAAGCAATCTGAGGGAATCTCACCAGTAATGATTGAATGAGCCTGTTACTTCTGTGTCAGTGTTTCAAGGTTTAATACAATGTGTTTGGGATAACAAACCCAGTAACAGTAACACAGTAGACTAGTGATAGTGTCTGTGATGTAATAAACTTATGCTAACAAATTAATTCTGAGAAATATGTAAATGTGTGTATTTTTTTTTCTTAATGGGACAGTTTAAGCAGTTTTAAAATGATACTTAGTCTTGGTTAAATATTTGCATGTACTTGTTTCTTCAGTTGATTTTTTTAAAGGCCAGTAGATTGCTTTTGTAGTATTATGTGCCATGTAATCATGGGCACACCATTATAGTTGTGCCTATGATTACATAGGCACAACTTTTGATCTGTGCTTTTATTCTTAATTACAGTAAAGATTTAGTCTTGAGGCTGATTCTATCAAGCCTCAAAAGCCATCTGGTGAAGAACATAATCCATGCCCATGTAATTAGCACAAGCCTCTAAACCTAGTGCGTGTGGGATATTTAACTGAGGTTGTGTAATATATGCCATAAAAGCAAAAATGCATCAAAATAGAGGCATATCAAAACAATATCCAGGGAACAATTAGTCTTCCCACTGTTGTTTCCTGCTTGATATGACCATTTTTCATATGCTTGCATGCTACTTTCTTAGATGAAGCGGTGACCAAATTTATTTTTAGATATGTTTTATTTTTATCTTTTATATTTTACCTGCATCTTTGTTTCGCTGAGCCCACATAATTGTAATGCATGGAGTTTTCTCTTTGCTGTGCAAAACAATCCTTAAGTATGCTTGTGTATTTAAGTTCTCAAACTGTGTGGTAAAAGTGTGCTCAAGTAGTGCTTGACTTACATGGCACTGTCTGCTTGAGAGGAGTTGAGTGGGGACTCCCCCTTGACTTAACTGAACTTGGTACTTTTTACCAGAGTTTATTGTCAGATATTAAACAAATCCCAAGTGTGAATCTAGCACTTCTGAGTCAAGCAGAAGTGTATTAGAAATGAACTCTTTAGATGAATTATTAACTGTTTTCTTTCCATCCTCCAGGAGCTCCTCCGTCTGTTTGGCATTCCATATATCGAAGCTCCGACAGAGGCTGAGGCACAGTGTGCCATATTGGACCTTACTGATCAGACCTCTGGGACAATCACCGATGACAGTGATGTTTGGTTGTTTGGTGGACGACATGTTTATAAAAATTTCTTCAGTCAGAACAAATACATAGAATATTATCAGTATGTTGACTTTCAGAACGAGCTAGGTAAGCCTCAGGTATTGATTTGTTAAAAACAGTCTTTAATAAAACATCTATGTCATCTGTCTCTTTGTATTTTCTACAGAATTTTCTGTCTCTTATTCAATGTCTGTTCTTTGGAGAGTCTCTGAAGCCATTCAGTTAGGTTACTGTTTTACTGCCAGATTACCCCCCTGAATTTGCAGACCACCTGCATTTAATATACTGAGATAGTGTAATGATAATCAAGGCTGGAGATATGAACTATTATACCAGTTTCTGGGTAAATTTTTAGCATGACTTTTCTGATGTGGTGGGAAAAGGATATTCTGATGTCATCAGATTTTTAGTCTTCTGGAAATAGAAATTAGTTTTGGACATATTGAGATGTAATATATTAAAAGCGGAGCTGGAATATGTGTAAAACATTAATCATATGGTCGACACTGAAAGATTTTTTTTCTTCTATCTGATTGCTCTTGAGCTAGTCTAATCAAATTGTTGCCAATTTTGTTGAACTACTAAGCTTCAGTGTCACATAAAGTATTGGGCAAAATACGAGCCAATTTAAACTTGTTATGTCTTGAGCAGAACTCTTTTAAAATCAGTTTTGACATTTTCAATTTGAGATGATACAGACTTTGAAATAGTAGTATGTAAAATTTCATAACATTTTTATGTGGTGAAAAATGTAGCTTTGGTTTCTTCCAGCAAATTGAATGAAATTTTTCCCTACTTAAGTATCCTTTTGTAGCTTAATTGGAAAGAATTGCTGTAAAAACATGTCTGTGATTTTTAACTGGTTTTAATGTGATAAGCCAAATATTTATTTATTTATTGGGAAAAAATAGTCATCATCAGTCTTTATGTCACATTCCTTTGCAGTCTTGTGCTTCTCCTTTCCCATGCATTGCAGAAATTCTTCTGTCTGAACAGCTGATGAATATCGTGACTAGCATGATAATGGTCTTGCTTTGTGAGTTTAGACTCACGTCCCTTCTTTTCTGCATAGGATTTAAAAAAAATTTCAAATCCAAACCTTTGAAGCTGGTCACTAAAAATCAGTCTGGTTGCCTCAGACTTTATAGCCTATCAAATAGAAGTGGTCAGCTGAGTTCTTCTTTCTGGCTGTTTCACAGGCTCTGCTTGGTAACTGTACTAGCACAGAGCAAAAGGCTTCCAGTTGAGGAACACTTCTAGGAAGCAGAGGCATTGGTATTATGGCCTAGAATTCAAACAGAATGTTTTTATTTGATTCTGGCATTACTTAATTCAGGTCAGCATTAGATGAAATCAGAACATTAACTGGATGTAATAAATGTAAAAAAATACCTTGTAACAACCCCAAATTTTGAAATTACATAATCAAATAATTATTTAGGTTGGAAAAATATCTCTGAGAAAAGAAAGGGTCTCTGAGATCAAGTCCAATGTTTATCTGATCACCACCTTGTCAACTAGACTATGGCACTGAGTACCACATCCAGTTATTTCTTGAACATTTCCAGGGATAGTGACTCCACCACCTCACTGCACAGTCCATTCTAATGTTTAACAATAATTTCCATGAAAAAAATTCCTTCTGATGTCCATTGTAACATTTTCATTTTGGCAGGATATATTTGCCAAATTAGCACAATTATTAGTGCTGGAGCTAGCAGTTGTATATTGATACTGCTCCAGAATAGAACATAGGAGATTCTGATGTTGAATTAAATATAATTTTATGGAGTTAATGCCTTTGTGTTCCTTTGCCTTTCTGATAGTATTTTTTATTTTGTAAGATAATAAATGCTGAATCCATACACTTTCTTTTTCAGGGTTGGATAGAAGCAAGCTAATTAATTTGGCATACTTGCTTGGAAGTGACTACACTGAGGGCATCCCAAATGTTGGCTTTGTAACAGCGATGGAGATTTTAAATGAATTTCCTGGGCATGGCTTGGAACCTCTCTTAAAATTTGCGTATGCTTCATTATGATTTGCTTTTTTGTATTTCCATATTGTGATTATTAGTAAATATGCTTTTCTGATGCTTAAATATGCAGCAAAACGTAATGCCATCATTGATTGATGGGACCATCATTAATGGGACTAAGTAGGCTGTAAAACATGACTCCATTATCACTATTTGGAATGAGAGGTAGATAAGGTGTCAAGTTGATACAGCAATCACAGTGAGACAAAGACAGCAGAACAGCTGTAGAATTGTGCATCTGCCTGAGAGTTTATTGGAGAGCTGGATCCATAGTGGAGCAGAGGTTCATTCTCCCTGGATTGGTGAGAGGTTGCTGTAATTTTCTCACAGAGAAAGGGGACTTGATTGAGGAATGGATGACCTGGAAGGAGTCAGGCAGGTAGGGTGTGGGCAAGAACAAGATTTGAAGAGGGCTAAGGCAGCTGTATTGGCAATAGTAAAGATGTTTAGAAATCTTTTTTTCCCCTTTCTTTTCCTTGCATATTAAAAAACCTCCAGCAATAATCATTGTGTGTGGAACATCCTCTGCAAGTGAGGCTAACACTGGGGCCTTCTGTTTAGCAGCTTATGGGGAATCCAGGTGATATTTGCCACTTTGGCTTACAGTAGCTACATTTAATGTGTATGTTTTTTCTTTTCTGCTGTTAAGATTTTTTGTCCCTTTGGCTTTCTTTCATTTGGACATTTTCTACATCATCTCTTGTAGTAATTGCAGTAAGGAGACTAAGGCTATTGAAATTAGCATAGTGGCTCTTGATATGTCAAATTTTATTTCATGAGGCAAATTAATAATTTCTCTGTTTTTTAGTGAGTGGTGGAATGAGGCTCAGAAGAATAAGAAAGTGATGCCTAATCCACATGACACTAAAGTCAAGAAGAAACTGCGGGAGCTACAGCTTTATTCAGGTTTCCCAAATCCAGCAGTGGCAGAAGCATACCTGAAACCTGTGGTGGATGAGTCAAGGGGTTCATTTACCTGGGGAAAGCCTGATGTAGAGCAGATCAGAGAATATCCTTTTGTTTGTTAGGTGAAAGTACTCAAAGTTCATGAGTCAGTAATGGAGTGTCAAGTTTTTAACATCTCTCTGTTGTGAAGGGCCCAAAGCCCTATCTGCATGTTCTTCCCTAAAATGATACCAGCTCTGGGATAGAAGGGAATGCAGCCATGTATGTGTGGCAGTCAGGCTGCTCTGCCCTCCTGAGAGAGTGGACTGTCTCACTTTGCATGCAAAGAGAATCTTGTAGCTGAACTGACTAATTTGTTGATATATTATATTTCTGTAACTGTCCTGTGCCTGTTTCTGCTCTTGAAGTGGGATTGCTCGAACACTCCCTCTGTATGTTTGCCTTTTTCACAAATAAATCTTGAAGTCTAGAGAGAAATGGGGTTTCAACATGCACTTTATCCCTAATTATTCCCTGCATTTCTTCCAATAATGTCTACTTTTTGCTTCAGTTGCAGTCTAAGCTGCAATGAACTATTGAAAAGTACATGGCAATAAATGCAGAGCTAATAGTGCTTTAAACAGGAAATGAAACTTCCAGTAGGTACAAATGTAAAAATAAGGTTTGTTTATAGGCATTTTGTTATGGCAATACCATTTAACCAAAATGAGTTCTGTCTTCACTGAGCCATGCTTTTGGAAATGTTGATCTTAGAGCAAAAGTTCTGCAACTAATGGAGATGCAGCAGTGTGACTGTGATATGTTGTTTTAACCAAGAGTCTTTTGTCTGATTTTGTAGTAGAAATGCTTTGAAGTGGAGCAACTTTCCTCCAGACATTTTTTACTCCAGGAAGTTTCATTTTATGTGTTTACAAAATACCAGTAATAGCCATTTTGTAAAGTTCCTTAACTATCTGCACATTCTGCAAGGATCACTTTGGCTGGACTAGGACGAAGATAGATGGAATCCTTTTGCCTGTGATGAAACAACTGAACTTACAGCAGGTGAAAATCTACCTACTGTAGTTTAAGGGTAACTGGAAAATGGTGAGAGAAGCATTTTGAAAAGAACAGCAAGGCTTTGAAGTAAAATATCTTCCTCAGAAGCTTGGCTTTGGGTTTTAATCTTTTTATGTATTTTTTTTTAAAGTCGCTAAGCTTGCTTCTCTAGACTTCATTTCTGTATGATTTGAGTGTGCTTTGAGGGGACTCTACGTAATTTCAGACATTGGTTTCAAGTTTCCTTACCTATCAAGCACCTATCTTAAGTCCAGGCTGCTGTTTTTTCTGGACATGGTCAAGCTACAGGTACCTCAGGCAACTTCAGTACTTCTAGAGCACAGTGTTCCATAAACACTTTATAAAGTATATATAAAAGTGCCCCTGAGATTTTGGTGGAGTGATACTGCCCACTTGATAGTATACCCATCCTTTGAGCACGAGTGCAGACTGAACTGTTGAGCCTATTAATAATACTACTCTCATTTCCAAGATAATGTTCTGTCAACTCTATTAATGCTTGAAAGTGAATGGTGATGCCTGCTTGGTAGCTGTCAAAGTAGGTTGGAAAATTTATCTCCACTGTGAAATTCTTTTTTCCTTTTGCCTTACACAAGATAGATGCATTGTCTAAACCAGTGTTCTAGGTTCTCTGTATCACTGAGTGGAGTGAAAGCTCCGTAGTTATATACATATTCATTCAGACTGATTGCAATGTCCTTTGGAAGAGTCTGTCTCAGACAATGTTAGAGAAAAAGCAGAGGACTGGCTGGGCCTATACAAAAAGCTTAGCTGTCGTTGAAGAGCACAAATCCACACTGTGTGAGGACTCTTAGTTCTCCTTTCAGTCTTTATACTGTAGCAGCATGTGGTGCAATGAACTGGAGACAAATGCCTGCATGTTCTTGCACTTGGAGGCACAAATGTAAAGTGCACTTATAGCATTTACTTAGTAAACATTCTGCTTTCACAGCTGGAAGCTAAGGATGTGTTTGTAAGGACATACTTAAGAGCACTACAGAGATTCTCTATATTAGGGTTGACAATAGCAACATATGTCTAACCACTAGCAGTGCAATATTTATGAAATCTCACTGCGAGTTTGCTAATTATTAATTTCTGTAAAGGTTCTTGTTGCCTAATTTATTATAAAGTATGGGTATTACTGTAATGATGTATCTTATTGTTCACATCTGTGTGCATATGTATTAATTTCATTACTTCTTTGTCCTGGTTTAGTTTCAGATGTTTTATAATATAGCTAACAACTGAATTCCCACAAAGACATTCAACTGTGTTTCTGTTTTATTTTTGCTAGACTCAGCTTCGAATTGATTCATTCTTCAGACTAGAACAGCATGAGAAACAAGCTATTAAAAGCCGGAGACTGCTCAGAGCTGTGACTTGTCTCAAGAGAAAGGAAAAGGAAGAAGACAATGAAATTCAGGAGGCCGCTGCTGTCACAGAGATGAAACTTAAACAGTCCAGAAAAACGAAAGGGGAAGGTACCACAGGTGACATAAATCAAGCTGCAGCAACAAAACAGAGTGGAAAGAGAAGAAAACATTCAGATTCCAGAAAAGAATTTTTATATGGAGGTGGTTTTGTTGGAAATTTGAATCTTTCAGAAGCTTCTAGTGACTCCTCAGTGGAGGAATCCAAAGGTAGAGATTTAGGCAAGAGCAAAAGGAAGAAAAACACGTCTGCAACAGAGACAGCCGACCATAAAGAGAAAAAAGGGTGCAGTAGCTCAAGTAGTGAAGATGAAGACCTGGGAAATGTAGTCATGGTGACTGCCAAACCTGTGTTTGAAGGCAGAAAAAAGAAATCACGAAGCAAGAGAGGAATAAGAAAGAAAATATCTTAAATATAATAATTATTTAAAAAGACTGATTTTTGTGACTTGAGCTTTGTAAATATTATAATGAATTCTTTTTAAAATATAATAAATTATCCTTATTTGTACTGCATTTTGTCATGCATTTGTCATGTTCTGCTGTCAAGAACTTAAATAGAAGTGATTTCAAACAAAACACTAATTTTAGCACACTTACTCACAAAGACTTAGATTTCACTTGATAGAAGTTTCCAAGCTTCAGATTTTAATATTGAGCCAAAACATGTTGTCCATTTATTTGCATTCTAATTGAGTTGGTAGAGCTGTTAAAACCATCTGCAATCAGTTGCTTCCTTAACTTCAAATTTAAATGAAATTCTGAAAATTTCTTGGGTTCTTTCTAGGTGTTGGGAGAAGTAAAATAGGTTACATTTTTTGCTTTTCTTCTTCCCAAAGCCTGTCTTGAAAGTATTATGCCCAAAGTAATATTTTTCATTGAAGAGAGATGATGCAAACCCTCAAAAAATCCCGAGGAAAAACATTCAGAACAGTAAGTCCCTCTATAATCTGATGGGCAGTAATTGTCCATATTCTGAATGTAAAAGACATGTTTCTAGATTTGGAGTTACATGTTACAAACTCTTATTTGGAGTTTGGCTGTGTCCAAAGACTATTTATGGTGTTCAGAGGTATCTACTGGTTGCAGCACTCGCACTGGATTAATTTGTGTGGGATGGTGTGAAGCTCAGACTTCTCTGAGCTTCTCTTCTCTGAATGTAAAATTTATTTCCACCTCCTGGCTGTAAAGAAGGGAAAGCACGGAATTCTACCCATCTTACTTGTGTTCTTACATTACATTTTAGTCCTTCTTGCTTTTTTTGAGTTCTCATTTGATATGTCTACTGCATTTCTCATTGTTTCATTATTTGAAATTCAAGACCATATGTTAAAGTTTTGTATAAGACATTGTCCTCCCCTGAATGGGCGAGGGGCTGAGGTGAATTGGATGGGATTTGGCTCTTAAAATTGCAGAGAGTCTAATACTTCATGTACAGTTTATACTGAGTGAAAATCATTCCTTTTGATACTACTTTTAGAAAAGATTATAATATTTTAAGCAAATTATCAGTCTATCCAGTCAGTTTACAGCACTATTTTATAAATCACTCATCAGCATTACTGACTATTACTTTAAAAGTATGTATCAGGTCCTGGTGCATTTTTCATAAAAGTAGAAGAGCTCCTTTAATTTCTTTTGCTAACTATGGTACAGAGACTGTCACTTCTCTGTAGGGCTTGTTTAGTATTTTGGTACAATAATTTATTATTTTTTGGTAACACCTAGAAAATCCAGTTGAGGTTGAAGTCTAATTTTTCTAAAAGTTGTGTAAAGTGAGAGATCCTTCTGTCCTGAATTGATTACAATCTAAAAAAGAGAAGTCTTAAGATACCTGTATTGGGTCCCACAACAGTGTTTGCGATCTGTTGATGGAATGGACACTCTGGATACGGAGGGGTGGTGTGTTTGTATTTGTGCAGGCTGACAGCTGTGTCGTGGGGTTAGGGTTTTGGGGGTTGTGTACCTTGTTACAGTTCTGCATTCCTGTACCGCAGCTGCAAAAGCACCCCTTCCCCTTGGTGAATTTTTGTCTCCAAAGGAAGAGCCTTTTGGCTCTGAAGAATGGCTTTATGCTCTTTGCCTACTTTTTAGTAGCAGCGAGGAGTCGCTAACACCCTGCCACTATTTATTTTGTAAGCAGTGCTCCAAGTTGGTTACTTTGTGGTTGCAGCTCCCTTGAGCGGGGTGTCTCCTGCTGGTACAAAATTGCTCCCTTACATAAGGGCTGCGTGATGCCCTCTTTGTGCTCGGGCTGCAGCTGTCGGGGTTTGTGATTGCTGCCGGCCGGGGGATGTTGGCAACGTGTGACACCGGCTTCGGAACACGCCTTTGCCTGCGCCTGTCCTGGGGGGAAGCCGCCGGCAAGATAAGGACTTTGCTGCTGGAGCACCATCTTTGGAAAGCTGGGAGAGATTCAGGTAGTGTTGACCAAAATGCTGTGGATGCCGGTGGTATTTCGCTTGACTCTGTCTTTTGTGCTAAATTAGTTTGTATCATTTGCTTTAAACAGTGTAACTGAGCTGTTCTGCACTGTTTAGTTGCTTGGAGCACTCCTGAATGTCCATGTTGGACTATTTTAGGTTGCTGTGTAGTTCAGTGCACCTCAGGATATTTTTAGAATGACAAAAAAAATGTAGAGGACCACAACATACAAAGGCTTTGTCCTGTAGGGTGATTTTACCTTTTATTTTGTCTTCTAATGGGAAGAAAATCTGTCATTTTTAATACTTCTGATATAGCCAACAAGCTGATGAGTGTGTGTAACATTTTCTGCTTAATATCCCTGTAGTTTCCTATGCCACTTGTTATTCTGAAGATGCATATAAAGACTTTGAATCCCACTGAGTCTCTTTTCTGTTTCCTATCTAATGATGTTGCTATTGCTAAGTTCATGTATAGACATAAATATAATGGCAATATTTTTGTTCTGTGTGCCATGGTGACATGTAGGAAGCCTTTATTTATTTTCACCTTCAAGCAGCATAATGGCTGCTGGTATTTTAGTAGTAAATTTAAACATTTAAATCTGTGTGCCTTTTGTGGTGTGAAGTCAAGAGAGTAAGGTGCGTCCTCTCAAACAGGAGAGGGCTGTTTCATACTGTCCTCTTGATCCTGAAGTTTTGAGAAAAAATCCTGCCTAAGACTTTGCACTGTGAGGACAATTTGATATTCAGAATATATTTTTATTTTGAATGAACTTTCTTTTTTTTTTTTTTTTTTTTTTTTTTTTTTTTTTTTTTTTTTTTTTTTTTTTTTTTTTTTTTTTTTTTTTTTTTTTTTTTTTTTTTTNCCCTTTTTATTGTTTGGTCCCACTATGGAGAGATACTCTTTTAGTCATTGCCTTATTTAATTGCATCCCTATTGGGTGTTTAGACATCTGTAGATTACTAACTGTAACCACCCTGGAAAAAAACCAGTAAAATTTCCACATAAGAGTGGACAAAATATCAAAAATAATCAAAGAACTGTGTGGTGGGTTTTTTTTTGTTTGTTTCTTTTTTTGTTCCTGTGAACTCAGTGTTCTTTCTGATTGTAAAATACCAAGAATTGGAGACTACTGGTTGTCTGTCTGCTTTTCTGCAGACAGCTGAAAATTGTATTGTCCTCGGTCCGACTGTTCCTACTACTTTTTTTCTCCAGCATGCTCTTTATCTGTTCATATAGGCACATATGTTTTCTGTTCAGCACATTATTTGTAGATCCTGCTCCTTTATACTCATGTGCAGCATTTACTATTAGACTGTTTCCTTCCCTTCCAAGCCAGTTAATTCAAACAAGATTAGATCATATTGGTGCAATTTTTCTTCTCATTCAGTAATTTGTTTCTACCTTTCCTTTCAATTCTTTATAAGCCTACAAAACTTGATTTTGATTTATTCTAACTTTAAAATTTCATAAAATAGATCTAAACATTAATCAAAACTTTTTTTTAATCTATTCTTTTTAATCTGTAATAATATAACAGTTGAACTAGTTTGCTGTGTCTTGTACTTTTATGCCTTGAATATTGATACTTATGTTTCTTCATGTCTTTAAAATCAATAGAAGTCAATTGTAGCATAATACCTGTAATTTTTTTTTTTTTAAATGAAGCTTATGTGTGAAAGAAGAAATAAAGTATTTTTATTGAGATAGACTTTTGTTTCTCGGTTCTAGGGCTTGTGCCATAGTATGGATTTGACAACATCACAGCATAATCATCTACAGAATCAAGGGGTCAGAGAATTCAAAAGACAAGAGGGTAAAATGTTTCTTATTTCACTATGTTTCCTTGTTGCACTTAAGAATAGTATTAGGGAATAAAGTGTCTTGCTAACAATGATCTATCTTCTAATTAATTTTTTTCTGAAGAACTGTGTTTATGGCATTTGTACAGAAAATGCAACAGATAACACGGTTGTAGTATGCTAGCAATGCACGAGGTATTTCAAGTATGTTATACCTGCATACTCTTGTCCTGGCAGCTTCCTGCTGGTGCCTGGCATCTGTCCTCCAGTTACTTGCCTGTGTCTGGTTCCAAGGAATGAAGCTGTGATTATGATCAAGCTTTTCAGACAGATTTGTTTACAGGCTGTCAGTTAGGAGAATTGGTTATTACAGCCTGATTTGTGTCTAGACAGCCTCAGACCCTGCCCTAAATACCTTCAGGGGCTGTTGGCAATGGTTTCTATTAAGTGCTTTCATGGCTGCACATCTTTGAGGACTCTAAAGCTTCATAAATAGTCCCCTTTTTAGTGGTTATCAGGAGTAGACAAGGTATTAGGACAAATGTATATGTTTTGTGATGGGGTCTAGTTATGTTCTACAACTGAGTGCAAAAAGAGGACATTTGAAAAATTATTTTATTTTTCATAATATTTTTGTGTAAAATCTCAGCTGAGTTGTAGTCTGTGTAGGGCCAGGTAGTTCTTTTCCATGTCTATAAACATTAATCTAAGAGAATGAGGAGACATGAATTGGACATCTTTACAGACTTTGCCATCTTAAATTCTGTGCCTGGTTCTGGAGGTGTAAAAGTGCTGAATCTGATGCATGGAGATTCACCTGCTAAATTACTTTGAGCCTGTGTCTTGTTCCCATCCTTTTTCTCTACTGCTTTCCCCATTCCTATTTCATTATTTGACATGCCAGTCTCAGTATCTGTTTCTCAGGGTTCTTATTCCAGTTTGGTTTCTTTCCAAGTTTCAGTCATAGAATCATTGACTCACAAAATAATTTGGGTTTGAAAGGACCTTAAAGACCATCTAGTTCTAAACCCCCTGCCATGGGTAGGGACACTTTCCACTAGACCAGGTTGCTCAAAGCCCCATCCAACCTGGCCTTGAATACTCCCAGGGGTGGAGCATCCATAATTTCTCTGGGCAACTTCTTCCAGTGTTACACCACCCTCACAGTCTGAGCTCTTTATATTTGGTACCTTACCCTTTGCTTATTAATTTACTTGTCATACATTCTCCAGTTTAAAACTACTTATTTTTGTTCATGATTCCCATTACTACTGGTTCTCAGTTTACAGATCAGTCCTCACCCAGTCTGAGCATTCCTTTTATGGCTTTAAACAATCAGTTCTCCACACCTGCGTTGTTAGATGTCTCTCTTTCCTCACATGATTTCTCTTATTAGCTTTAACTCTCCTTGGCTAAATGTTTCTCAGACCAGATGCTACCACTCCTGTCTTAATTTCTTGGGAAACTAAATTACTTTACCCTAGTTGCATTATGTAAATTCACCCCAGATTACTTTTATCTCTGAGACAAAAGGAGAAGAACAATTTTGCAAGGTGTACATGTCCTTAGCAGTCCATCATCCAAGTTCACTTGGCCATGGCTCAGTTTTTAATCCATCAATATCTGAGAAAATGCTGACCTAGTAACCTTCTCGTAACTCCTGACATTTAAAAAGGGACACACTCCTTCTACTTGCCCTGCCTGACAGGTGTCCGAATTGATGGCAATTCCTGCCAGCATATAAAACATCTTGGTGGAGTCCAGAGCAGTGCCTTAAATGGGACATTCATGGAATGGAGCCAAGTGAGAAGCATCCTAACCCTGTAACTTACAATTTAAGGTAATTCAACTGAGAGGAGGTAGTGATGTAGCACCTCATTCATATTTCCTGGGTTACTTCTAATGATACTTCTTATCTCTCCCATTATCTTCTGCACTGATGCTTTTTCACTGGCTTCAAAAGCTTTGTTGTAAAATGTGAAAAACATCCTAGGACCTGAGTATGGACCCCAAGTCTGCCTCTTCACAGCTGAGTGCCTGATTTGTAGTTGGACTTTCCCTTGCTTGTTATCCTTCCAGCATGATCTTTGCAATCCTGGTTTCCTGTTGGCTTATTTTATTAATTTAACACTTCCCTGTTGTCTTTCTCTCCCCTCAGTAAGTAGACACACTTAACAATGTCTTTGCTTAAGACATTGTTAAACTCAAGTGAAAACTTCTTGTGTATGGGTAGAACAGAGGCTGGAGGCAACACTCAAATAATCAAGGCATACGTGACCTTTGTAGGGAAGTCTGTGACTTATTCTTCCCTCTCAGCCATGTGCACATCTTTCCTATTTTCACTTCTTTAGTCTTTACAGTAGCTGCATTTTGACAATAAATAATATATCTCAACTTCCACATAAGAAAAGGGGTATGACTGCATAGGTTGGTGTTGTTAGGTTACTTTCTAGTCCTTTATGCATAGGAATATTTTAGAAATCAAGAATTATTGGTAGGTGAATACTGACAGCATTTTTTTAGGTCTCTTCCTATCTGTCAGGAAGCTAGCTGCCTTTTATAATGTATATTAGACCATCTAATTTAAGAACAGAGTCTGCTTTGTAGTCAAAGGGAAATAATTTAGTTATTTTTAGAAAGTAAATAGCTTCTGAGCCTAGACTTGGAGATGTTTTCAACGACAGACAAACATGATGAAGTAAAAAGGGAAGTACTTGGCAAACTTGAATTCATTATGTGTTCAGGAGATAAAATGTCTACAGTACTTCTATTTTCAGCCTTTTAATGTTTCTAGATGGCCTTTGACTTGGATAGGGCTGGGATATCAGTGTTGTAAATTTGAAATCAAAACCATACCTCTCAAGCCTGGGTAAATACATTGACTGGATGCTTCTCTTGTTCTTGTTCTTGTGTCCTTATTCTCTGGGCTAAGTGCATCTTGTCTCTTGGCTGAGAAGAGGCTGCCTGTGTGTTGCAGTTTTGCATTTCAAAGTTTAAAGTTTCAAGCATTTTGTTACCCTGACATGCGATCTGAGATTGATCAATATAATACACACCTTCATTGCCATCACTTCAGCAGACTGTGCTTGTAATGAATGTAGTGGAATGCCTACACTTATGTGATGATATCCCTTTTTTGTAGGTAGGGATGAAGTAGGGAAAAATTAACTGCAGTTTAGACATACTGGAATGGTACTTTGCTTTATATTCTTAGAAAGGTGTAGGTTACATCTGACTTCTGTGAAGTCAGGAGCACGATTAGCTTTCTCTCCTAACACCTTCCTGTGAGAGCCCTTATGCTGAAATGGAATAAAATAGAAATAAGTGGAAGGAAATAAAGATGCTAAAGTGATGCTACCTGAAATTTAGGGCCTACATTGTGATTCAGGATTGTGTATGTTTCCATGGAGCAATCTGTAGTGCTTGTAGGACTAGGGCTCTGATTCTGACATGTCAGTAGCTCAGTAAAAATTCTGAGACTCCAGAGTCCCTTTCTATTGTGATCTTTATGTAGTTTTAGGATAAATTTGATGTGAGCCATTGGAAATCCCCATTTGGATTTATCGGGATACCTTTGGATAATTTCTATCAGTGGAGTAATGTAACTTGTCTCCAGTCATCTCTTACAGTCACAGAACTGGTTGCAGGTTTGCTCCCTTACTGATCTTTTTGCAGGTATCCTCTTGACTCTGGGATATATAGATAGCAACAATATTTTTGCTTATATTTTTAATATAAGCAATATGTATTATATCTATTATTTCCACATTATGTATTATATCTATTATTTCCACATTATATAAATAAAATGCATCTTAAATATTTAGTTTGGATAACTTCACTCCTGTGTGTCCAGAGTGGGGGGTGATCTGAAGAGTCCTGGATTTCTTGGAATATCTTAGGAACTGTCTAGTGTCGCTCAATCAGTAAAACAGCACAGGTAGTCTTCTTTTGTGGAGGCAGTTGCTGAGAAGTCATAGTGGGACCATCTTCACAGCTGTTGGTGCATGGTATTAAAATATTTGTTAGAACAAGTCTAAATGGTAAACTTTAAATCTAAACTCTGTATGTGAGAGTATACTGCTTCTGAAGATGGGAGAATATGTTGCTGTAGGGCTAAACTTTGTCAGGGCAAGTTCATGCTAAAGTTTTAGATTTCATTCCTTTTGCCAGTTGGAGAAAATCCATCAAAGCAGGAGAGAAGCAGATGACTGGATCTTATTTCCTTATGACATTGGGCTGTGACACCATTTGATCTCCTGAGATCAGAGTCAGGCCAACACTCGAAAGAGAGTAATATTTTTTCTTCCCTGTAGGCTGTTCCCATTAATCAATGGGTGATTTTTTTTTTTTTTTAATGAATGCTTCTTCTAATCCACTAGCAAAGTACTTGGAGTATGTTTTGTTACTTTAAATGTGTGCTAGTGGTAGTGCTAGTATATTCTTCATATTTCATGGTGGAAGGATCCTTTTACTTTTTTAGCTGTGTTAGTTCAGGTATCTAGATTTTTTGTGACAAGTGGTGTAAATAGCTGATCATGTAGCTTGTTTCTAAACAGGTAATATTTCTACTAAGTCTAAGCACAATTGTGCACATAAAGATTGTCCTCATTTTTATAGAAAAAAGATGCTGCAGTTTGCAATATTTTCCATTCTGACCTGGTCTGTTTCCTGTTATTTTCTTTCTAACTTCCCTTTCCTACTTGAAGGACTTCTCTAGCAGAACTCACATAATTTTGTTTCTTTAGGCTTTTGTTCTAACATATAATATTTTGACATTTGTTTAACATGACATATGAATATGTCAGCAAAATCCTCTGGTTCCCTACACAGGATTTTGCAGCTTGGCACACATTTAACTAACCTGCCACTGACTTCACAACTCCAGTTTTCCACATGATTAGTACGTCTGTCTGGAGAACTTTGCATTTTAGTTACTTTGCCTTTGTGAATGATGTTTAGGCTCATTTGACATAGTTGATTCAGTGCAAGATGTGTCAACAGTACATGAGGTTTTCTCTCAGTCCTGATATTAATGTAAAATAAAGTGAGCTCATGGAACATGCTCCAAAGATGTTAGGCTTCTATGATAAGCAATACTTTATCTAAAATATTCCAAAGAACAGTGTAAGTAATTAACCTATTAGGCAAAAGTCTAAAGAAGCTTAAAGATATTCTTGAAGAATTTGGAGCATCTATAGAGGTAAGTTTTTGTACACAAGTTCAAGACGAAGGAGTTTACTCTGTTTCACTAAGAAAAATCATCTCAATTTCTATATGTTACCTCGACTGGATCAAACTGCTTCATCTTATTGTAAATAAGGTTCTGTCACTAGAAACTCCAGTGGTTTCTGTGTTCACTCATGCAAATAGATAAATAGGCTGAAGAAAACAGTTCTGTGTGCATACCTCTTCCACACTTCTCCACATCAAAGAACAGGGGTGAGGGCTGAACACAACCTCTGTGTTTGTCTTCTTCTGTCTCTGTGAAGAAGGGAGAAGCCAATCCTGGCAGACTTTTAAGTTCTAATGGTTCAGTACCTGTGCTCCACTAGTATTGCTGGAAATACCCATTATGCACTTCCATTCTTACAAGAATTGATAGCCAGGTCAGTCAAACCTCCTCTTCTCTTATCCTACCCTATTCTTCTGATGAGTTATCTCTTTCTGTTTAAAATGTCATTAGAGTCTGTTCATTGACTCATAATTTCAGGGCTTTTTTTTTTTTTCTGTACAAGAGAATATTCACTAATACAGAGGTAAACACTTCCAGGAGAATAGTCCCCTTTCAGCTTTTTACACCTGTTATCATAGAACTGGTTTGATCAAAGCACCAGCAAAATTTCCTTAATGTTTTCAGATATTAAAAGAGTTTGTCTCACTTGGATTTTACTTACTCTTACAACAATTTTTTTGTCACTTGAAAGATTTCCCACTTGTTCTTTATTCTTCTATTCTCAGTGCTTTGAGGGCAGTTACAGAAAAAAAAACTCATGCACTTTTGTGCACTCCCACAAGAAGTTGTTCTGAAAGATAAGAAGCGGCAAACAGGTGTGTTTTTTGCTGTTCAAAGGGAAACTTGTATGAAATAAGTGAATCTGACTAAAATTCGGCACTCCTTGTTTGTCAGCACTCTTTGTCAGGATAATTGACATCCTGGTTCTGATAAAGTTTCTCCTTTGGATCTTGTCTAACATATGATAACTCTGATGAAACAGGTATTATTTTTGATTCTTCACAATAGTAAGTGTTTTCTTAAAGGGAAAAGAAAAAAAAAAAGCTTCTCCAGATAAGCCACCTGGAAGATTACTAAAAGGATAAGATGGGCAAAAATTCAAGAGGTGCTATTGTTCAGCAGATTTGGGATTCTTCTTTCAGGGGTACAGACAGTGCTCAGGAAGAGAGCAGTGGCTTACAAACTCTATTAGTGTAGTGCGATGCAAACCTGAAGTAGAAAGTTTGCTAATCCTGTAGGGAATAGGTGGGAAATGTTTATTGAGTGCTAGAGGGGCAGCTGTAATACTGCTAAACTTTTATAGATCTTCTCACAGGAGCTTTATAAGTTAAGACCTAATAAGTTACCAGTTTCTCAACAAAATTGGATCCAAAACAGATGTCAAGCGAGGAAAATCAAGAAAAATGGTTGTAATTGAAAGGTAATAGAAAGAATAGCTTTTACTTCCACAGCTAGTAATGATCACAGAACAAGATCAGACTGCTCTAAGCAATCAGAGAAGATAAAAAGTAGGCTATATCTGGTATGTTTGGAAACAGGATGATCTATTAAATACACTTATGATATGTGTATGATTTTTATTATTTCTTTCATAAGAGAAAGATTAATTTTGCCCTGAAGCAGCATTTCCCTGGCACTTAGCTCATGTTTGTCAAGAGCTCCCTAATTACAAGCACAGTGATGCATGTGTTTTCTCCCAGCTTAACATTAGAGGCTTCAAGAGGCTGACACATACTGCTTGTTTCCCGATATCTTAAAATACCATCATTTCAGTGTCGGGCATTTTATTTTAGTTATATTAATAAAATTTCTGAAAACTCTTTTCCCCCAGTAGTATATGCATGATATGATATTTAATTTTATATTTAATCCCATGATTAGGGATCTTTTCCCCTGCAATAAATTCTACAAGTACTGTGGTTGGTTAGTTTTTATTGGGTTTTTGTGTCTTAGTGCCAACATAACAAATTCAAATATTTTTGGTTTTTCTTCCTTGTTTGCTGCTATTCTCTATTTTCCTGTGATGCTGAAATTTGAGTTATGAGCTTAAAGCACTGGCTAATAAGTTTGAGCAGCTTCATGATGTCTTTTTCTCTGGTATCATCTTTTTCTTTGTTCACCCTTGCTTTTGTTCCTTAGACCTTGTATCACAAGGAAGGAAGGGAGACTTTGTCCATAAGTTATTACAATAAAAATACTGAGGCATATGGCAATATAAATAACAACACCTGGGGCCATTATGGCCTGTGACAGCAATGATTCAAGGGGGAAGAAAATGTGAAGAATCCTCAGTAGAACAAAGTCTTTTATGTTGATGAAAGAATAAATGGTTTCATTTTCCAGAGGGAGCAGATCCCAAAATTAATATCTGTGATTTTGATGGGAACTGCATGCTTGATACAGAAACTCTGCTTTGGACAAGGTGGTAACTGAGTTGTCTAAATCTCTAGCATGCTTTCTAAAAGGTGTAGCCTGTAAACATGTTTTTCTTTCATTGGTTGCCAACAGATCATAGTTGGCTATGAAAGCAAAATTCCCGTGAAAACTTGGAACGAATCTAAGAAAACCTTTCCTAAGGAAATGTTCTAGACAGCATCACTTACATATTTTTTTTCTGACATTGTGGTTCAGTTTTTTGTGATGATGGCAAAACTGAAACTAGCATGTTATTCTGCTAAAAAGGAATGAAGCCTCTTCTGTTAGAATGGTTATCCAGGATTTTGTTAGTTATCATAAATATTCTTTGCTTAGCAACAGGGATGGCATTCAGGATATCAAGCCAACTGGAAAGAATCCCTCTGACAGGGCTCTGTTGGGGTGGGTGGATAAGCTTTCCTGACAACACAAGTGCTTTCACTCCTGTCTGTCATAATTTGTGTTGCTAGGATCTGTTTCACAAGTTTTGTGACAGACTTATACATGATATTCTGGCTCCTTTTGTTTACTGTCAAAAAGAACCAGAATATGGGGAAAGTGAACAGTAAAAGGATATGGCGAATAATGAAAAATATGGGTGCATAAGGCTGTGAGTGTCTTTACTAGGGCAGCTGTTCTTGAAGGGAAAAAAGAGTTTAAAAATTTCCTTTGGGTTGCTGAAATGGAAAGCATTGTATGCTAACATTCCCCTTCTTTACTTTTTATGAACTTGGCTGCTTCAGTGAAACATTAAAAAATTTATTTATTCACACACTGAAAATTTCAATTAGAATTCAGGAGAATAGCCATGTACCATGCTAACAATTAATGGTGAAATGTATTTTATTCACAGATATAAATTATATTCTTGTTTCCAAATCAGCTTTTCAATATGAATTGGTAGTTTTATTATCAGTCCACTCAGCCTCTTTGACATTTTATGTTTTTGCTTCCAGGGGAAAAAGAAGATGAACAGATAGTTGCAAAAATCATGGAGAGGCGTTTTTTTCCTGATCATATAGCTTATAAGACCTGGGAAGGCTTTCACTTTGCCGGCCATGAGATAAGAATTACAGAAGCCACTGATTGTTACGGGGCAGTCGTCTGGCCATCGGTAGAATATTTTTGCAGTATAGTTATTTTTCATTTGTGGACCTATCTAGCATTTTAAGATTTGTTTTGTATCATAAATATACTTTTTTATATGTTATAAACCCAAGGAAATAATTCTGTGCTTCTCTGTCTCTGTTCTACAAATCCCAAACCTGAATTTAACCTGGTTTTGTGTGGACTTATGTTTCTCAAAGCTTACTTGGTATTTCTTGTGCATGCCCAAATCACCCAAGATGTATGGTCTTGTGTCTCCCCCTTGCTTGCCAGTAGCTTTTAATCTTATTTGCCAATTATGAGCATACTTTGAAAGAAATATGGCAGTTTTTTGATGATTGCATTTCTATACATTTTATAAATACAGATGGCTGCGTAGCAGGCAGATCCAGGTTGCGGAAACAACAGTGATACAAGCTCACAAGGTGTTAGCACTCATAGAAGCTATTCAACCTACTCATGTAAGGAACAAATTTACCTCGTTAATACATAGACATGGGAAAATGTTCAGCTGGAGCTTTCAGTTTCTTAAACAGCTGGAAATCTAGTTGGAGAGAACCATTGAGAGAACCATTGTCTTTGGCTCTTGATATAAGAACCATCAACACATTCACCATACAAGTAGTCTTCTTCAGGTTTTGAATCCATACAGTGCAGCAAACTTACTGTTTTGAAATAATTAAGACTGAAAGAAATCTCCAGGGAGGTGCCACAATACATGATTAAATTTTTGTCCCTAAAGGAGAGACCCAGGATGCTCCATTTCTTTCCCAGCTGCCCTAGCCTCCTAGGATCATACTGTTTTTTAGAAGTATGACCACAGTACAGCTGAGGATAGCTGTCCTACTCTTCTGCTTTGAAATCCAAATGATATTCCTGGTTTTAGGAAACCAGGACCAGTCATCTGTACTATATGTTTTGATGACCTCAGTGTATGTCTTCGTGGAAAGTTTGGCTGACTACCAATTATTCACACAAAATCATGGACTTCACTGAAAAACATATTTTTTTTTCTGGAAGGGCTTAGCCAGTTTTGTTGTGGAAGGAAGATAACCCTTCAATCTCAGTCTCTTGATGTTCTCCCTTCCACTTCCATCTTGCTGTACTTGAAATCTTATGAAAAATGTCTGCCAAATTTTCAAGAGTGCAGAAACTTTAAGGAAAGTAAAGTTTCTTCATGCTTCATGGAAAGGAATGCAGATTTCAAAGTTTCCCTGATTTAACTCTCAGAAAATTTGATTATGCCAGTCAGTTTCTATAATAGAATACAGCAAAATCCTGAGGGAAGGAATTATAGGAATTAATATGACTAGGAGGAAATCCTAATATAAGGTCAATTATAATGTCAATATAATGTCAAATATCAGACCCAGTCTTTAGGAACCTGACTTCAATTATTCCTGGTTCTCACAGGCTGATTTCTATATCAAAGTGCTGTTGATTAAATGATATATGTAAGTTCGGACTGCCTTCTCTTCTGTGCTCTGAATTAAGAGGTAGAAAAAAGACCCCTTTGTTTTACTTTCTAGCATGTTATCATTGGGCCAGCAGTCCTCCTCATTCATACTTAGTTAAAAGCAAAACTAATTTTGCTGTGCCAGAGCAGGCCCGCTAATGATTGCCTTTTGAAATGGTCATCTGTATTGTGAGAGGATATAGCAATCATCTTATTTGTCAATGGAGATTCTACAGTTATCAAAGTCCGAGAAAAATATGGAAGTAAATATGGAAACTATCTTTATGAGAGAAATAAAATTAGCAAATTCTATTTCAACAGGGAACTAAAACTCACTGGTCAGTGTGAGATAGGGCAGAAAAGCTGAAGATTCTTAATCACTTTAAGATTAAGAATCAGTTTATATATAAACTGATTGGTTTATATATACATGTGTAAATTTACAGTTAACCAGTTTATATATACATTACTTATATAATCAGTTTATATATACGTGTGTAAGGAGTCTGTTGTAGATGCTCTTTGTGAGTATATTTACTATGAAAGTTTGCTAAGCTTGACAAGATAAGTAAATAGAAACTACAAAAAAACTGAACCAGAAGAAAAGGGGGTAAATCTATTTGTCCCATTTGAACCCTCACAATAATTGATTATTGTCAGCAATAATTGACTACTGGAAGAACTTAACAAGGGTTCTTGTGGATTTTCTCTCAGAAATAGTCTTTATATCAAGACGTTTTTGTGAAGGACTGGTTTTTATCTCAACCAGAAGTAAGTCCAGTTACAAGCAGGAATTGGCAGGAAGTAAGTCCAGTTATAAGCAGGAATTGGTGACTGGAATTTTACAACTCATGTCATATGTTGTGACAGATTATCTACTTATAGTTGCTCCTTCTGTCTGTAATAATTCACAGACTTATATGGATTTTGGATATGAAAATGCATTTTGTAGCATTTATTTTGTGGCCTATAGAGCCCAAAGAACATAGTGAGCTGTGGTTCTTTAGGGATAGTGCTTGAATAAATATTGCTCATTTGAACAGACAACAATTTTTTTGCATGCTTTTAACTGGCAATTCATATTTAGTCAAGGGATTTAGTTCATTATTTTGTTCAGTATGTGAATTAATTTCCTCCCCTACAGGCTCTTGTTCTGTGTTATTTTTTGGAAACTAATTCTAAACAATGCAATTTGGTTGACAAAAATGTGATTGAAATTGGAGCTGGAACTGGTTTGGTCTCCATAGTAGCCAGTTTGCTGGGTGAGTATATGATATTTCTCTTATGTTCTTGGAAACACCTCTCAGATAAATAATAGAGGACAAATAATGTGGCTTGGTTCTTCTCGGAGGCCATTGTATGAAAGCTTCCAAGAGCAAGAAACAAATTCTAAAAGGCTTGTTTGGAAACATGCTTTGGTGGCTTTTTTTTCTGGGAGTGTATTGATACAATAAAGGAGGTCTCAGTAGATATGTTGTCATTAGCTATGTTAAACTGGGGGTCAAAATAAGAACTCAGTGGCTTTGCAGGGTGTCCGTGGCAAACAGGTTGAGCCAGATGTAGGTATGACCAGTGCATCCTCTTCCTTTGACCAAACCAATTTTGGATGCCAGGTCACCTTCTATCCATTTGTGTTTCAGTATTATCCTTTAGCAACTTGATCTTTTTGCTCTAGACATTGTTGTGTTTTCTCTCATGGCACCCTATTCATCTTCAAGAGTAATCCAGGTCAGTGGGTACTGAATTTTAACAGAACTTTAGCTTTTGGTAGTCTGAAAAAGCTTCTTCTTGTGTGAGAAGGGAAGAACCTGAGGTAATGCTTAAATCTCATGCTAACTTCTTGGATTCAGTAATTGGTATTCATCAATCCCTAGTCAGCCACTGTACTTTTAACCAGTGAGATATCAAGATAGAGTAAGTATCTGATTTCTCCCCAGCAGTTGCATTTAGATGTCAATCTGTAGAGTAGAGCTACAAGGAAGCAAATATTTATTTTAAGCATAATATTTAAGAGTTATTGGGAGCATCTACAATTTTTTATTGCCCTCAGTGAGAGTTATCTGATAAAACCAGTTTATTGTGCAGTGGCTTTTGTGAATGGGCTTTTACTCAAGTGTTGATGTATGTTCAAATACTGTATTTGTTTTCTCTGTGTCACAGGTGCCTTTGTGACTGCCACAGATTTGCCAGAACTACTGGGAAACCTTCAGTACAACATTCTCCAAAATACAAAGCAAAAATGCAAACACCAGCCTTGTGTTAAGGAGTTGTCTTGGGGAATTGATATGGAAAAGAACTTTCCTAGGTCTTCCTGTCACTTTGACTACATTATGGCTGCTGATGTAGTTTACCACCATCCATTCCTGGATGAACTCCTCCTAACTTTTGATCACTTGTGCAAGAATGATACTGTTATTCTGTGGGCCATGAAATTTAGGCTGGAGGAAGAGAACCGATTTGTGGACAGATTTCAGACACTGTTTGACTTAGAGATGGTTTCTAATTTTCCCAGTTTGAACATAGCCTTGTATAAAGCAATGAGGAAAGGCAGGATGAAAGCCAGACCTTCCAAACTGGAGGTCTGAAAGAGAGATATGGTGAGGTGACAGTTGCAGCTGTTCTGCAGCTTTTTCTCTCTTTAATAATTTCCATTTTAGTAGCTGTTGACACTTACATGAGTGACATTTCTAGAGATAGGTAAAATAAATCATCAAATTCCTAGTGCATTCCTATAAATTCCTAAATTCAATTTGCCAATAGTGATATACACAGAAGAGATACATCTGTGAAATTGTCTTGACTTTTATGTGCTAAGCTGACAACTCTAATAATTTTTACAAGTCTTACCATGATTGTTATGGGTCATATAATGAATATTTCCAGAAGTTTTCAATTACAGCTTTGAACAGTCTCTTATAAGTTTGAACAATTATTTAAAAATTTTAGACTATAAATCTTTGTATTTAAAAGTTTTGGTGTTAAATCTGATATTTCCCCATTTTCACTATTATGTTAATCCTTCCTTTGAATACTCTTAATAGGACATTAAATTAGCTGAAAAAACCTCACCACCTGAAAAACACACTTTTTGTGATAAAGGGAGAGAATACATTAATTACTCTTAATGTAATGTTTATGCTTTCATTTTTCTATTTAAATTTAGGGATTCTTCAACACAAAGAGCACATGAAGCAAGAATGATTTAAATGTTTTGCTTGTTGCTTGAACAAAGGTCATGTATTAGAAGCATACAACAACCAGCTGCCGTTTACAAAGACTTTTAACTCTTGGTCTGGAGTTCTGCTCCTCCAAAAATAGACGGTTATCTGAACCTGATGGAGCAACAATGGAAAAAGGACAGTGACCATCAAGAAAGGAGCTGTGCACTGCTGGCTGCTGGTGGCTGGAGGCAGAAAACTAAACCAGCCTGTCATGGCGTGGCTGAAGCATGGATAGAATTAGATATTTGTTTGTTTTTTTAGTATGGGCAAACAAAATACTTTCTTCCTAACCACTCAGTACTGCATGCTCCTGTTTTCAGTGGCCTATCCAAGAGTTTTCTTTTGGGGAGGTTAATAAAATTATTCTTTCCACACACATTTTCTAATTCTGTTTGTAGTTGATTTTGAGGCCTTCAAGTCTCTTTCAGGCTAGAGAAGAGAGCTTTATCACCTCTACTGTAGCAGGCAACTGCCCTAGTAGTGTGGAGGCTCTGGGGACTGTCAGTATTTATCTTTTAACTCCTATTTGTATTCTCTCAGGTAGTTTTATTTTTTATTGTTGACTTCTTGAACATACTTTTATTTTTATCTTTGATTGTAGCAGATGCATGTTACTTATTTACTCTGGCACAAGTCTGGGGCAGAACTGTGGTAAATGTGATGTGGAATGTACTTTTTGCCCCAGCTGAACATTGGTGTCTGGTGTTAGAGGTGAAGTGGTGCAGAGAGGAGAGGCTGATCTGCAAAACTTTGCCAGTGGGAGCTGGATATCCTAGGGCATCCTTGCTGAAACACAAAGGGTGACCCTAGGATAAAACTAAAGCAAACAATAGCATGTCTTAGCCCAGAAGCAAAATTAAAATAAAGGAAGTTAAGTCTATTTTTTACCTGCTGCTGAGGAATCACATGTGAGATTTTGGCTTGGAGGTTATTAGACAAAAATCTAATCCTCATCAGTAAATTTCCTGTGACAAAGTTTGTAGAGGTAGAATCCTTTATTGGATCAATCAGTATAGCTAGAAAATTAGACTCTATACCAGCTGACAGGGAGTATTACCCCTCCTTACAGAAGTTAATGTGCCTATGTCCTTAGATAATTACAGCTGTAGAAAAACAGGCTGCAGAATGGAAATATTTGGAAATAATTTTCTTTCTACACTGTGTAATAGAAATAGTTTGATTTCCTCTCCCTGCTTCCTTCCTCTTAACTTGCTTGCAATCATTGAATCGACTGCAATTGTAACCATAATCTTTGTATCTGAAATGGCATCTCACTCAACAAATGTTTAATGGATAAATGGATTGGCACTATAATTAGTGAAATGACCTTGTGGACTCCAAAATGATGAAGGCAAAAGAGGAAGACTACTGCAAAGCCATTAAGTGTGATCACTTTTAAATAGCTATCCTGCTGACTTGCCCTCTTGTTTGAGCCACAGACTGATCCCTGCTGAGCTTCTGCCGAATTCAACAGGAGATGTGTTTGTCAAATGGAGTCAGGATTCAGCACTTCAGGCCCAACAGCTTGTTAATATGTACTGGAATGCAACATCAGCTCTCTTTCTCACAAGTCTGCCTAGCACTGCTGTGTGAAGCTTCTTGGGAAATCTCTAGTGACTGGCTGCTCTATTGTACAGCCACCTTTTGTCCTCTGGTGTGATGGGCAGGTTATTAGCCATGACCAGTGGAGGGTGAGCTTGTATTTGGCATTTGCCTGTGGAGTTTATTCCTGCTCTCTGAGAATAAGTCTCACATAAATGTCGAGTATTACTGACCCCTGAAGTCAGTCATAATTTTAATAACCACTTATTCTTTGTTCTAATAGCTCAGATAAAGGATCAAACTGCCAATCAGTGCATTATATTACTAATACAGATGGCATTTGTAGCTGTAGTTTCTGAAAGGTGGCGGGCAAGAAGGTCAGTTAAATTTGTGGGTGAAAGAGCTCCACTTTTAAAGAATGCCAAAGGAGGATCTGCCTGTGCTGGTAGGCTTTTACAGTCTCCTATAGGGTGTTATGAAAATCAAACTCATTTAAGAGATAAATTTGGATATATGGTATAGGTTCAATCCATTCAACGGGTTTTATATCTTTCAACCTAAGAGCAGCAGTATATTTAAGTAACTTGATGGTATTTACTAGATTTTCCACAAACAATATGTTTTTCAAGTACTAATACTTTCAGGAAGGGTTCTTTTTGAATAAAGTGTATGTAGAATTATTACAGTGATTAACTTTGCTGCTTATATTTTCATCAAGGTTTTTTATGAATCTTTGCCTTTTCCTTCTCAGAATTAAAGAAACAAACATTTTCTACATTGTAGATTTTCCATATGGTCATATTTTGGTTTTGTCTCTCTCTTGCTGAATTTCAGTTTTGCAGCTCTGAGTTATTTGGTTTTGTTTGCATTATTACACCCACCCATTTGGGCTTTTACCTCTTATAACAACTGTAAGAAAAACTGTAGCTGCTGAAAATTTAGGAAAAACATGTTCAAATGGCAGTACAGATGTACTGTGCAAATCTAATTTTCATTTAGAAGCAGTAATGGAGCCCCAGCCTAAGAAATAAAACTGCTAAAAACACCCAAATAACTACCCCTAGCCCAAACAGTAGCTGAATGATGCACAACTTATATTGGCCATTATACAAGCACTAGTCAGTGCTAGGTGAGCAAAAAAGACCAAAGAATAGCACGTGTCTTCCTGAATGAATCTTCATTGCCAGTCACACTGAGTATGTCAGGTGACTCAGTCATCTGAAGAAATAGTACATGTACCAAACAACCCAGGACCTTGAAACCTAAATGGATTTAGAAGTCACCAATTTAGAAGTCACCAATTCAGCCAACACCCTTTGAAATATGGAGACCTGAATGGACTTTTCCCTATTCAGCCACTGCTACTGCACTGGAAACCTTAAGGTGATCTCAAGATAAGTTCAGTGGCAAAGAAAGAAGGAGCTGTCAAGATGTCATTGCTCCATTAAGAAATGGACATGTTCATTCTTATAATAGGTCTGTGACTTCAGGGAAATGTTGTTACACACGTGTAAAGCAAAGAGGAAACTGAGCTAAATGTCAGAGGATTTACACCTAACTAACAGGGGAAAGTCCAGTATAAGAGTAAAAATAACATTTCCTGTGCTCCACCTTGTTTGAATTTTTTACATTAAGGAAAAAAAGTAAATAAATGTTATTATTGCATAAAAACAAATACTTCTGTGCCACTCTAGATAAATTATAAACACCCTAAAATTATAAGCACTCAGCAATAGGTCAGAACAAAATAACAATTTTTCCTTTTGCATAGTTAATCCATCCAAACACATAATACACAGTATGTATTGGATAGTCTGGAGTTTCAGAATGATTCAGGTTGGACGACACCTCTGAAGGCTGTCTAGTCCTACCTTCTGCTCACATCTGGGCTATATTCAAAGTCTGAACAGGTTGCTCAGTTTCTCCAGTAGTGCATGAAAATCTTGAAGAAAGAAGATTCCACAATGCACCTGAGCAGCCTGTTAATTTCTTCCCCCCCACCTCACATATCCAACTGGAATTTCTCTTGCTGCAACTGGACATCTTTCTACTGTCATTTTGCAATGGACCTGTGGGTTCATCATCTCTATAACCCTCTTTTTATGCAGCAGAAGACAGCTATGAGATCCACCACTCATGTTGAAGAAACCTAGCACCCTCAGCCCTTTGCTTCCTCCTGCCCATTAACCCTTTCAGTCCTCCTTGGCATTCTCTTTAGTTTGTTAAGATTCCCATTACTAGTGGCTCCACAAGTTGACACAGTCCTGCAGACAGGGCACCATTATGCCACGTAGAAGGGTAATAACCACTTTGAATGATCTGCTGGCCACAGTCTTGCCAGTGCTGTTAACTTACATCAACTGCAAGGCTATAGCACTGTCTTTGTTCCTGTTCCATCAAGATATCCAGTTCCTCTTCTGCAGATCCAGTCTCTAGGTTGTCAGCTCATGAGCTGGCATGAGTTAAAGCCTGTGCTTTTACCTTCTGCTACTCTGTTGGACCTTATGTGGATTTTATTGGCCTATTCCTTCCATCTGCCAAAGTCCCTCTGAGCAGCACCTCTGTTCTTCCCCTGTTTGGTGTCTTGGTAACATTTAAATTCTGTTTACATGGACCATTGTCCAGGTCACTGATGGAAATTAACAACATCAGTCCCTGCCACAACCCCACCTGCATCACTCCTACAGACTGCTTGCTTGGGCTTTATTTTGTTCACTAGTTTTGAGTTAAAAGGCCCATTCAGTTTTTAACCACTCATCCATCTGCATCTCTACAACTGAGCTACAAAGCCTCTACAGAAAAAAAAATGTGATAAAGGGATGCAAAAAAAAGCACTGTGCTCTGCTTTTCCACAGGAACAGTCGTAGACAGCAGTTAGTTTGTTCAGATCCTTAGCAAATTTGTATTGGTTGTTTGCAAACATATGTGCTTGGAAATGTCTTCCAGAAGCATTTCTTGCATAGTCTGCCTGGAGATGGGATGATACAGACTGGACTGTGGTCTTCTTGAGCCTCCCTCTAGTTTTTTTTTGAGTATGGACTAATATTTGCTTTTGTTCTCAGAGACTGGGAGCTGCCTCTGTCACCTTTCAGAGTTTATAGCACTCTTACAGTGACACCAGACAGCTTCCTTGGCATCCTAAAGACACTGCCTTGTCCCATGGATTTCTGTGTGCCCAGAGGGCTTAAGTGGACCCTAGCTTGGCTGCTCCTATGCCTACTGCTTCCACTAAATTCTGTCACTAAACAGGAAAACAGATACAGAAATCTTTAGAGCTGGCTTTGCCAGTAAAGACCAAGGAATGGATTAGCTCAGCCTTTGTCATGCCCTTTTGTATATGCTACCCCACTCAGCAGTAAAGTAATACTTTCAGTTGTCTTCCTTCTGCTGTTCCTGTGTAAAACCCTTCACGTCCATATCTTCTTATCCAGTTTCAGCTTTCCCAACTCCTGCACTGCCTGTTTGAGCAATGGCTTTTATTCCTCCTTGGTAGCCTATCCATATTACCACTTTTTGGGTATTTATTATTTTTTCCATTTTAGCTCAGTTGGAATATATTCCTTTTCATATATGCTATTTTTTTTTTTTTTTTCAGAGTTCTCTCAGCTTTCCACATGATAGGATAGACCAAACATCAGTGAGGAAGTTGCTCCTGAATATTAGTTAATCTCTTGATATTTTTGCTCTTCAGGATTGTCTGCAATGAGATCTCATCTACTCATTTCTTGAAGTCTTCTCTTGGGAAATCTAATTCTTTAGAATATATTTTAATGTCATGGAGTCAAAGTCTTTATTTTGCTACTTGCCTTCTTCTTCTCTTTTCTCAGACCCTAGAA